TTTTTTTTTTTTTTTTTTTTTCTTCCCCTTTTGCGCAGTCCCCATTTTCGATGGCCACGCGTGGGTGCTACTGGACAAGTTGAGCGTGAAGAGCATTTTAGGTGAGGAGACGCTGCGCCTGGTCAGCGTGCCCATTCGCTTGACCTTTGTCTTGGCGGTTGCCCGCTGGGGATATTCCACATGGCCGCTGCACGATTAATCACGTCCATCCCATTCGCAGGCGAATTTCTACCGAGAGACGTGCGCGGCAGCCTGCTCGCCAGCACCGTCAATTTTATCATCCTGAACAAGGAAGGGCGCCAGATCTTAAAAAACACCACACGTAAGATGAATGTCGACTGGAATCGCGAATGGAAACACGAGAGGAGGAGGGGCGCACCTGTCCGCGTGAGAGCGCGCTCATAAGTGCGCACTTATATGGTGCCTTTTCTAAACGTGTGTACCCTTACACGACTGTGCAACCCCGTCCGCAGCGGTCGTGAGCCTCAAGCATGCAACCTTCACCCTGAGCGGTATATTAAATTTCATCATTCGGGCCGAAAAGGGAAAAGGGAATGAAATTATTGTGTACACAAGGATACCATAACGGACGGAAGGATCAACCACCAGCATGATCAGCAGCATGATCAGCAACATGATCAGCAGCATGATCAGCAGCATGACCAGCAACATGACCAGCAACATGATCAGCGTCACAACCAACTCTGGGAGATGCACACATGGAGATCGGGGTTATGCATGGAACGGATCACACCTCCCTGGTCGAGGGGAAAAAAAAAAAAAAAGTTTCCACTTGGAATAAATGTTTCTTCCCCTGACAGAAGCACCTGTTCGTGAGGGTGTTATACGCTGCCCTACGTACATGTGGGTTGGGCAGCGTCTACCCGGGGATTGTGTTGTCATTTTGCTTCAACTTTGGTGCTTCGCCATTTGGCTATCTAGTGTTTTGGTTTTTTTTTTTTTTGTTTATTTTTTATTTTTTAGTTTTGTTTCGTTTTTTTGTTTAGTTTTTGACCCCTCGGGGGGAACCCATCTCTCATTTTTTTTTTTGTTTCCGTTTTAGCGCACACTGCGTTTCCGTTAAAGTCCACGCTCTTTTCGCAACTGGCATTTTTTTTTTTTTTTTTTTGTACAAACTGCCTCAGCGTGGGGTTATTTTCATTTGCTCTACATCCGCGTCCATCGCGTCTTTTTGTGTTTTCTGCATCCCTCGCCCCCCCCGCTGAGGGACAAAACAATGACGAGTGTGAAGTTTCGCGAATTCCAATTAGCGAAGAGGAGAAGTAGCGTCTCCTCACAAAAAAGCCGTGAATAGATGTGATCATGCCACCCATGTGGGTGGGTAGCATAGGTGAGTAAACAGTGCGTGTTGCCACTTGACAGGAATCTTCCGTCCACGAGCAGGTAGATCGTTACACGAACATTTATGTACTTTCACCTGCCTGTAAGTGTCATCATGGATGTAGCTGCGTGGTCATTCTTCTTCCGCGCAACCGTCTTTTACTCTACGCACTTATGATTATGCCAATACCGGGATGCGTTTTTTTTTTTTTTTTTTTTTTT